GATCGGGAGTCAAAGATGCCACACGAGAAAGGTTGGAAGCACTTGAAACAACATGTAGGTTTGGTTCAAAAGAAAAATATCAGAAAAGTATGGTTGATAATCTGGTTAGTAGTAATATGGTCTATTTGGCTATGGCAGAATCAAAATATTCAAGAAGGAAAAAGAACTGCAGAGCAAGGTGATAGAGCTGATAAAGTTCCGGTCGTTCAGCTGGATTAAGGCAAACTTGCTACTAGAAAATATCTAAAGACTGCTGGTGTAACTCTCCCTGCTTTAATAAAAATCAAACAAACTCTGAATGGGTTGATAAGAGTCTTCATGTAATCATATTCTTTCCTTGCAATTAGGGTTATTATTTATTAGAAAGTCTATCAAATTGATTTGAATTTTGAAACTGAACAAACATAATTGATGAATTTCAACATGACCCAGTTCTTTTTCCATTTGGATCAGCAGAAATCTTGGACCCAACTTGGAGGAAATTTTTATTGAATTAATTTGAATTGGAACAAAAGTAAACCATAATAGTATGTAAAGGCACGCAAAAGAAAGATATGATAATGATTATCACATGTTCCCTCATAAATTAGTTTTTAATCTTAATATCTTTTTTCTTTTGAGATATTACTTTAACAATATTTCTTTTTACTAATTATAACAACAATCACAATTCTTTATAACAATTTCAAACGAACCTTAAATTATTTTTTTAATTAATTAATTTGATCATAATAAACCAATCTTCCAATTCTTTAGGATCCTAATATTGAAAAGAGAGAGAGAGATAAGAAAATTCTAGAAGAAATTTGCTTTCGCTAGTAGCCACACATATACTTGTTAATGTGTGAGGCTTGGCTTAGTGAGAGCTAGATATAGGGTTTTCCCTTTTGCAAAATGCAGACAGTGATTTGCATGCAAGCCTAATTGGTTGCTATACTAAAATTGGGAAAACCATACATGATCTCACATGCCCAACTTGACCACACATTCACATGCCTCCACATGTGTGCCAGCAAATTAAAGGGTGTTTGCTTCCCACTTCATCATATGTGCTCACTTTTGGCTTGCATTACTCTTTTTTTTGATAAAATTATTTTTTTACAATGAATTAATTCTTACGATTTTATGTGACAATTTATTTAAATATTAATTGATACGAACATATTAAAATATATAAGTTTAAAATTAAATTAAAATTCAAGTTTTATGCAAGATCTAAACTATAATAATTTAATTTGCTTGTATACAAAGAAAAAAAATACAAACAAATTAGGAGATTTAGGTTTTAATTAGATATATTCAACTTTTTCAAACATCCACTTCTTTGAGACCATCCTCACATAATTTGACTATTGGATGATCCACTTCTTGTGCAAATGTATTTTTATTACCCACCATGTCTTTAGCCTTCAACCATTCTCTCTCCCAATCCGTCCTGTAAACCACCGTCAGCATTGCCACAACACAAGCCATCTGTGCTGCTAACAGCCCATAACACAGTCCCGCAAACCCTAGCTCCACAACAAACGCCAGAACCACCGCAAACGGCGCACCCACAAGGTAAAACGAGTAGAAGTTGACGGCGGCGGCTGTCCCTGGCCGAGCACTTCCTCTCAGAATCCCGCAACTTGTCGTTTGCGCGCAGTTAGCAAGTTCACAAAGTCCGATGATCGGCAGCACAGACTTTGTCAGCTCAAGGACGTCAGTGTCCGAAGTGAAAACTCTGCCCCATGCCTCTCGTCCCACTGTTGTCAAGACCAACCCCAGCAGGGAGGTCAGTAAGGCTAATCCTATCGCCACCCCAGCTGCCAACTTTGCCTTCCCAGGTCTGGAACCTCCAAGCTCGTTCCCTACTCGGGTTGACACGGCTGCGCTGATTGCCGTAGGCAATGTGTACATGAGAGAAGTTGTTTGTATCACAATCGCTGCTGTTGCGAGGGAAACCTGGGGTTTGGACATATATCCGGCAAGGATCGTCATGAACTCGTACCACCACCATTCTAGGCATACCGCAATACAGCTTGGTATCGCCAGTCGAAGGAGAACACCCCACTCTTTCCTTGTTGAAGACGGCGGCAACGGTGGCGCTGGTGACAATATTGGTGTAAGCAGTGTAGATTGTGGTGGAATTGCCAGAGCAACTCGATTTATATAGATCATGTAGCAAAGAAGGAAGAAGAGGGTGATGAAGTTGGCTATGGACGTGGACATTGCTATTCCGGGAACTCCTAGCCGGAGACTGAACGATAAAAAGATCATAACCGGAATGTAAAAAAGGACAGAAACTAAACTGCTCCACATTAACTGCCATGTCGCCCCTTTACTGCGTAAATAAATACGTAGAGGGTGAAGAAGACTGTTGGCTATAAGATCCGGGATGGCATACCGGCAGTAAACTCCGGCAACATGCGTTATATCGCCGTTCTGATTCAGGCGAAGCATTAGGGGTTCAAGATAAAACCAGAGCAAGGCGATGGGGAGAGACACAAGGAGTAACATGAAACTTGTTCTCCGTAAAGTGAGAGATGCAAAGGATGAGTTTCTTGAGCCAAAAGCTTGGCTGCAGAGGGATTCCATCCCCATGGCAAGGCCAGAGAGAACAGAATACCCAGTGATGTTGGTGAAGCTGACCGCCAAAGCACCTCCGGCGAGCTCCAGGCTCCCTAGCCGTCCCATGCAGACGACTAATATCATGTTTTTGAGATACCCCATGATGCTCATGGCCGCCATAGGAAAGCCTATGTCTGATATTTTCTTCATCTCCTCCACCAGCTAGTAAAAAACAAGAAACCCAACAAAGTAATTATAAAAGAAATTAAGAAAATTAATTAAAGATTTGTTTTGATGGTTTTAGGAAGATCCTGTGTACGTACCTCTGGCATTGTCGGGTACTTTTGGAACTCCATTTCCTGAACCATATGTGTATTTATTGTTTTTCTTTCTTTTGTTTCCTGAGAACAAAACAGTGGGCTTCTCTGCTATAGCACCAACACCAGAGAGAGATGTGATGAGAAAGTAGTGCGGGGGGAAAAGAGATTTATAAGGTTGTGGGGTGGTGGGTGGCATATTGTTATCCTAATTGCTTCCTGAGTGCTGTTTACTTTTTGAGAACGTTATTTTTTATTTTTGCCTCGCTGTAATTTTTTGAAAAGTGTTTTGTACTCTGATGTCTGACTGACGCCAGCAAGCATATACTGCACTAACAAAATTTGTGTAAATATCATTTTCTTGTTACAAATTTGAGTACTACAAACAGTGGAATTAAGTTTTAATAGGGGGTTTGAATTAATTATAATTATTTTTGTAGCAATTCAAAAACTTTAATCTACCATCTGATTATAGGTAACTGTTTCCATGTGAAGAAAATTTGTTATAAAAATTAGGCCAGAGTCCATGTAAATTAAGTATTCTGTACAAGAAACATATAAAAAAGTGTGTGCAAGCGGCACATGCAAGTGGGTTGAAGATAAAATAATATGTCACATTGATATGTAGTGATATAAAAGCAGCACAAAAACCTTATTTTAACCGTGGGATATTGAAGCACGATCTCAAAACGCCACCACTACTATTCCAATCAAATTTTGTCACCTTCCTCAAAATAAGGGAACACATCCACACCCTCATGGAATATGTACCAACGTTATATGTCTTGAAATCTTCGCCTACACGTGGGGAAATTCGGTGGCCGTCATTCTCATAGTCACGATCACGAATTTAATAGTTGATGTACATATTCGCACGTTAAGGATCAATATCAGTCATTTTGGACACCACATATACATGGTATTGTATTCTAGAAAAATCTTTATAAAAGAGTAAATAGGTTCTATGAGATCGCTTGAGGTAGTGTTACGAATGTCTCATATAATGTAATGCATAATTTAAGCAATAATTAATCGAGTAAGTAAAAGTTATATATATGTCACACTAAGATGAAACCTTGCACGTGCATCTAGTTACACCAAATTACAATAATTACACCCACTCCCTATAATCTTGTCGAGAAATTTCATTTTCAATCAAACCTTTTTTTTTCAGTGCCCAATCTAAGATGGGATTTAATACCTTCCCTGGCCAATGCCATTGCAACAGAATTTTATGATGAGGGTGGTTGTTATTATTACGAGCTAGAAAATGAAGGCATGCATATATATATATATATATATATATGCAAATTCCGTAGGCCAATCCGACCTCATTTGTATGGGGTTTCTTTTATGCTCTGTTTTTCTACTAAGTAATTTGTTGTGTCGACTTTGGTAGTCATAAAGAATGGGTTATACTTTGGAACAAGTCATGTATAGGGCCAATTTTTCTTACTTTTCTTAGTTGAATCCCTTCAAGTAGGGCCGATGCATGAAGGCAAAATTTAGAATCAGATGGACAACAACAAACCCCTTAATTATCTCAACAGTCTAAATAGTTCACCCACTAAATGCACCACAAATGTTGACGTTATAAGAGGCCCTCGGGAGCTCCCCCCATGCATGTTCCTGGCCCCCACATGGATGTTGGTTGCCTACTTGCCTTGATATAGATTCTTATCGCGTTTGATCCGTCGATAAATCAAGTCAAAAGCAAAGCTTGATAAAGAGATTTGGTGAATCTGAGGGTAATAATATTCTTGGGCACTACAAACAATGTAGCCTTTTGTTTGTTTGTTTGCTTGTTTCTCTTTATAAATATGTTACCGTGAAGATATTTTTGGATTAATTATATATCTTAAAATTAATATTTTTTAAAATAATTTTAAAGGTATATTTCTTATATTAGTTTAATATATTAAAAAATTAATTTTTTAAATTATTAATTTTAAAATTTAAATTTTAAATTTGATTTATAACACAATATTTATTTTTTAATAAATCCAAAACATAGATTATGATGTAGTCTTTTGTACTACAATAGTCAACATGCTTTTCATAAATATCAACCAACCTCATGATGGTCCACAACATGGATATTTCATTGCAATCGGAAATTCTAATTAGGAGGATTATTTCTTTAAGGCAAGACAGTAAAGACTTTATTGACTGAGAACAAGATACTCTTACCTATGTACAAATTCTAATGAGGAGGATCTAGTATTTCTTTGAGGTACATTTTCCACGTTGTCTCCTCATATGAGTGCGATAAATCCTAGGGATGGGTCGGGGTGTTGAGGTAACCCTTCTAAAGCTCTTTTTTCTCTCTTGAACTCTTATCATGCTATCAAATTTAAGGGTTGGATTTATAAATAAATAAGTGTTTTTTTTATAAATTAAATTTTAATTTTAAGTTTTAAAAATTAGTACTTAAAAATTAATTTTTATGAATATACTAAATTATCATTGGGGTGTACATTTAAAATCACCTAAAAATAATTAATTTTAAAATATACAAAAGTTAGTCTAAAGATATCGTATAAAAAAAAAAAAACTCTTATCATGCCATCACCATCGCCAGATTTATTTTGGTAGACATCCAACGAACTAAATTAATGCTACTTAAAATGTTAGGCTAAAAATACAAAAAAACTTTCACATGTCATTAAATAAATAGATGTATTTAATATTATGGGTCTTATATAAATTAAAAAAATCAATCATTTAAATGACACTCAGGTTGTATAAAAAAGTGGGACAAAAAAATTGTACAAAAAAGTTGTACAAAAAAGTTGTACAAAAATCATTTCTCTATACTAATTACTTATTCTTGAAAAAATTTTGGTTAAAATACTAATTTGGTCCCTCAACTTTGAGGTTTATATCAAAATTATCCTTCAACTTCAAAAATATCAAAATTGTCCTTAAACTTTAATTTTCAATATCAAAAAAATCCTTCCATTAACAAAAGCACCACATTACTTGTTATTTTAGTACAAAATCAATTCTTTTTTT